CTGGCAGGATTTGTCCACCCGACATCCAAGGAAGTTTACGTCGCGTACTGACTTGGCGCCGCCCGTCAGAAACATGTGACGGACCTCCAAGTGACGCTAGAAGAAATGCATCGCAACATGGAGGTGCGAAGCGACAAATTGCGTCTGCAAGCGCGTGCACGCCGCAAGCGGAAATCCCAAGTCAACTTTGCGGGTTTTTCGGTCGGCGATTTTGTGCCTGTCGGATCGGTCGTCAACCGTCTGACAAAATTGGCCCTGCATTGGTGCGGAAAATTTGAAGGCGAAAATGTTCTTGTATGACAACATCGAGTACTGGAGTACATATCCACGATGTTGCAATAAAATATCATAGAGTGGTGGGCAAGTTACCACAGGAATACAGTTAAATAATTGAGGTAATCTATTTTTCGCTGAGTTGTCAAAAGATAACCTATTTTTCAAACATGCGCAAGGAGGAATAAATAAAATATGCCTTTGAAAGGCCCTGCTTGGCTGGCAACGTTCGACAATCTTTCAAATGACATGAGATAGATTCATGTTGAACTGTATGGATTTATATTTAGTACAATTGATTGGTCAATGATCACTCTTACGTGCTCTAGGTATGGTGCACTTATCTAGAACCTTCCAACTGGCCAAATTTGGACGAGAAAATATATTTATTATATATGAATATATTGAATAATATATCACGAGAAATTTCAATAAATTGTTTTCGAAACTTTCGAAACTTCCACAACTTTCGAAAACTATCTGGAGTATCTCCAAAATTCAAAACCTCCAGTAATTTGTATTAATTTCCGTACAGGATTTTTTTGAGACATGAAATTTTGAATCATTCTTCAATTTGCCAAGGTGCCAAAAAGAGTCTGGGTTCCAAGGCGGTGGGCACTTGGCGACATGGCGGGTGCTTTTAGTCTCCCACTGCCTAGACAGGCGTCTCTCCTCGGAGACTGCGCCGCTAAGAGGATGGCAAAGGGACCAAGGCGGGGCACGGGTTGACGACGGTTAAGAGCCATGAGACCCACTGAAGTCCAGCCGTCCTTGTATGTGCTACCCCCGCGGAACGGCACCTTGGTTGTCGGCTGTGGTTTGTTGCAATTGTCCAAAGGTAAGTCAATTACTTCGAAGTAGTATATTTTACTACTTTGAACTCTGCAAACGCATTTCATCCACGAGCAACTCTTTCTCTTGAGACATTAACTTTGGGATTCGTCTGTGCTCTTGTACTTGGTGTGCGCGAACCTTGTTAACTCGTAGTCATACTCGAAGCTCTAGGCATCAATGAAATGGGCGCAGCGGCGAAAAAACTTGCGGATGGACGTACGGAATCAAGGCTTTGAGGGACACAAGTCGTTAACCCTTCGAACGAGTAGTCGCAGTGTCTCCTGGCGTAGCGCTTGGCGTCTCCGATCGAATCCGATCGATTCGATCGGATTCAATTCGCAATGGTACTTAGGTAGGAATGCGCAAATGTGACCAGCCCTGATTATTGTCTCTTCCAATAGGGACAGCTGGGCACGAAAGTCTTCTTGGGAAGCCATGCAATGGCGCGCACAGCACATGCGGACGTCGCCTTGGCATGTATTGAGGTGCGTTTATTTGCAAAAGAGAGACATCTTCAACAACTTGACGTCGTATCCTCGTTCTAAGAGTACTTGCTGTAGACCTTTGGCCTCGCCACTCCGGGTATGGTTTTCTTCAAAGACCATACTTTGAGTTGTTCCACCCAGCAGTCGTCCAGGACGAAGAAGGGCTTGGGCGCCACCCGGTTTAAGACTCATATTCGAGGCACGGAGCGCATCAGGGGCGAAGGCTGCTTGATTCGTCGACTGATCAAAGGTAAAGTATCCCTTCGCTCCCGGGTGCATTTCGTTGAATGCTGCGACCACTTCCTCTTGACCTTGTTTGATCATGTGCTCACACGTCCAATAGCCTTCGTTGTTCTTGCCGACGTGCAGCTTTTGAGTCGTGTATTTCTTGACGCCGTTCACCATGTTGTACAAGCGGCCGTGACATGGGCACAAGAAGTCTGAGACCATTTTTTGGGCAGGTCATGGTTGTCGGTTTGGGACCAACCTTTGCCGCCATCATCATTGGCGTAAAACACTGACTTATCGTGCGTAACCCAAACAATCTCGGACTCATTTGTTGTGCTAGGATGCTCCACCGTTGCCATGTCGTCGCCACAGTAGTAAGACATCCTGTTGCAAAGCCATGGAAATATTTGCAAAACGTCTCGCGGTACGACTTGACATCATCACGCTCGTGACCGTCGGTGTAAACGTTCTTCTTCCAGAGGCCATATCGATATCCAACGTGCTGCATCCAGCGGCGAGCCGTACTTTCCGAC